AACTATTCGGGTGTCCACCAACAGAGTATATTCATATACTCCCGGCCATCTTTGTCACTCAACCCAACACAGCTGGTTATGGAGTTCTTAAATGTACGTTTAAACCACATTTCTTATACCCCCAATACCTGTTTATATAAACACTTTGTGTGTCGGTACATTGTCATTTGCAATGTCTAACACCAGAGAGAACAGAAAGACTGAGGCAATGTAAAGCAGCTACTGATTTAATTGCTATATCTCCCCAGTGGCATTCTGTACACATTTGTTTGATGTAAACAGATAAGACACTTTTCCACTGTTACCGTTTTGATTTTAGCTGTTTGAAAAAATATATGAAACCATACAAATTTATGCGTTTTGCTCTTAATAAGCATAGACAAGGAATTCTGCAAATTATCTTAATGCCAGGTTTGTAACTGTCTCTCTAATTTTCTTTTATTTGTTACTCCAGGGTGGGCAGCAGGATACAGGTCCTTCATAATGGTACTCTTACTGTTAACACTGTGAGTGACAAAGATGCCGGAGATTATCTCTGTGTGGCCCGAAACAAGATTGGTGATGCTCTACAACTCATGAAAGTCAGTGTATCAATGAAGCCAGCCAAGATAGAGACTAAGGTATACAGCAAGAAGCAGGTACCCTATGGAAAGGACTTAAAAGTAGACTGTAAAGCCTCAGGGGCACCAAAGCCAGATATCTCCTGGGGTCTACCAGATGGTACAATGGTCAACAGTGCTTTGCAGTCTGATGCCAGCAGTAGAGGAGGACGAGAACGTCGCTACACTCTGTTTGACAATGGAACTCTTTATCTAAACCAGGTATTGAATTGGATCAAACACAAACTGCACAAACATATATACATATATATCATGTTTATATATCGTGTTTTCATATCATGTTTCTCCAGGTTGGAATGTCAGAGGAAGGCGATTATACCTGCTTTGCTGAGAACCAGGTTGGCAAAGATGAGATGCATGTACATATCACTGTAGTTACAGCATCCCCTAGGATGCGTCCATCCAGCCAGACCTATGCTAGAGTGAAGCCCGGAGGAAGCATCCTCTTTGACTGTGAGGCAGTTGGAGAGCCTAAACCTAAGATATTGTGGATACTTCCCAATAACGATGTAATAGCAGCATCACATGAACGCTACTTAATGCATGTCAATGGTTCTCTGGATATTAGGGATGTCAAGGTAATTGATGCAGGGGAGTATGTTTGCATGGCTCGCAACCCTGGCGGAGAAACCAGAAAAGTTTACAAGCTTGAGATAGGTGGGAATCCACCAGTGATCAATGGCTACCATCAGAACAGAACAGTCATTAAAGAAATAGTGTCTACATATTCCAGGAAACTTATAGATTGTATGGCTGAGGGGACTCCCAGACCTACTATCACTTGGATTATGCCTGATAACATCTTTCTAACAGCACCCTACTTTGGAAGTAGGATTAAAGTCCACCAGAATGGGACACTTGAGATACGTAATGTCCGCCCTTCTGATACAGCAGAGTTTATTTGCTTAGCTAGAAATGATGGAGGAGAGGCAGTAATGGTGGTGCAGTTGACGGTTACAAGTATGCTCCGAAGGCCAATCTTCAATAATCCCTTCAATGAACGCATTGTGTCTGGGAATGGGAAAACCACAGTTCTGAATTGTTCTGCTGATGGGCAGCCAATGCCAGAGATATCATGGACTTTGCCTAATGGAACACGGTTTATTGGTGGAACCAATCATGGTTCTCGCCACCAAATAAACAATGATGGGACTTTGGTCATCCGCAGTACTCACAAAGAAGATGCTGGGAAATACCGCTGTGGTGCCAAGAATCTCATGGGCTACATAGAGAAGCTAATAATTTTGGAGATTGGGCAGAAGCCTTATATCCTGACAAGGCCCAGGGGTATCATACGCAGCATATCAGGGGAGCCCCTCTTCATTCACTGCCTATCTGATGGGAGTCCCAGACCAAGAATCTACTGGACCGTTCCTGGTGGTCACACTCTTACTCGGCCTCAAGTCCTCGGACGCTACCAGTTGCTAGAAAATGGTACTCTTATAATTCAGGACACTACACTCCATGACCGCGGAAACTACATATGCAGAGCTCGAAACGATGCTGGTGAGGCTGTACTTACTGTCCCTGTTATTGTCATTGCCTACCCTCCACGGATCACAATGGGGCCCCCCTCCAATGTGAGGGCAGAGACTGGGAGACCTATTCAGCTCAACTGTGCTGCTACTGGGATCCCCAAGCCAGAGATCACATGGGAGCTTCCAGATCATTCAGTTCTATCAGCAGCAGAAAAGGGGCGGCCTATGGGTAGTGAACTGCTCCACCCTCAGGGTACACTAATCATCCAGAGGCCCACACCCTCAGACTCTGGAACATACAAATGCCTTGCGAAAAACCACTTAGGTACAGATTCAAAGGTCACATATGTACTTGTGCTGTGATTAAAAATAATAGCTGAAGGTTGACAGTATATGCTAATGTAAATATTAACAGACACATATTGTCTGCTCACTACACTACCTATCATCTTGTGGATTAGTGAAGATGAAGGCATGTGTAATACAGAAGCTGATTATGTGAGTAATTAACAAAACACAAAAAAGGAATTTAAAAAAAGAAACTCCTGCTTGCTTGTAACATTGGAAGCTGGGGTCTGGAAAATCAAAGTACTCATTTAGGGTAGTCCTAACGAGAGCAACAGAGCCAAATCATAGAGCCAAACCTAAAGTGATTTCTCTGACCTGCTGTTGGACATAGTAGCCAAACAGAAAAACAGAAATTAGAAGGGGAGGTTGGTCTTCTCAAGAGGTCATAATTCCCTTTGGACATAACAGCAAATTTAAAAAAACAACAGAATATGTAGTAAAATGTATTTTATAAGTAATTCAGTGTTTTTAAGTGGGAAAAAGGGTTTATTCAAATATATATATGATACTTGTCTTACACTGGACATGGTATATTGCGTGCGTGCGTGCGTGCGTGCGTGTGTGTGTGTGTGTGTGTGTGTGTGTGTGTGTTAATTAAGGTCTATATAGATTCCTATATGTCTATTTGGAACACAATGGAATATAATACATATTACCAATCTGTTGTGTTGTACATGAGAATTTACAGTAATGTTATACATTATGCCAATAATAAAGTCCATGTATATCTATTTGCAGTATCTCCTTAATTAAAGTATGGGGAAAAACATGAACTTACAAAGTAAAACATGGCTCATGTCTTTTTATGCTACTATTTTCTCAGTTGGGGATAAAAGAAATACAAAAGGTATTAAATTATAGGGCACCAAAATGTCACAAACAGAAGCATATTCAGCTCTGGAATTTTAAGTGCAGGCCAGCTATGAAAATAATCCTTCACTCTCTTTGTCAGTGGGCAGGATCCACAGGGGAGCCATTGATTTTTGCTTGTCATGCACTCTGATTTTACTGTGCTCCTGCAAATTAAACTGGAAGGTGATGAGTAATGTTAAGACAGAGGAGGTGAACTTAACATGAGTTTGTACTGCTGCTTGAGCCTGCCATCTGAAAATATATATTTCATGCTATACACCTTATGCAAGGCTTATTATGCTTGCTCTCTAACCACACTTACTTGGCAAATGTCAGCTGATTCACACCGTCTCCTTTTTCTAAAGAAATAGATACATGGTATTTTAGTCATGCCCTGTGCCTTAGAAACAACTGGAAATAATTTCTCAGCGAATTACTCCAATTTTGAATTGCCCATAATGATGCATGCTTTTCAATAGGAAAATCTTAATCTATACAAGACCTCATAAAGAATGCTGTATCTTCTAGTAAGTATACTTCACCATTTGTGTAAAAGTAAAAAGAAAACAAAGACATAAAAGTTAATTATGAATCAGTCTAACATGTTTTGAAATGCTGTATGCAGCTACTGGCCATACCATACCATACCATACCATACCATACCATACCATACCATACCATACCATACCAGCATGGCTGATAATGTTAAACACCACTTTCAACATTGGAATGTTCAGTATCTGCCAATAAATGCAGTTTTTAGATTTCAGAGAAATAAAAAAGGAAAAAATAAAATTCCAAAGTTTAAAGCCAGTCTGCACAAGTGTGATATAACCCGGGCAGATATGGAGGAAAACGGAATTGTCCTCCATAAACTCTGGAATGTGAGGTACTCGCTGTGTGATTTGAGAGAAAAGTGCTTTCATATGTGAGTTTGGTGACAAACAGATACAAATCACAGTAGTTATGAAGGACCACCTATTCTTTACATATGGTACCTCAATGTAAAAGACAGTTCATCATTCACACCGGGTGCCCTGTTGAGATGTGGACGGTGAAAAGTTTATTTGTTCAGTTCTGGTTTTGCAGTTCATGTTCAGGGAATGATGGAGTTTATGTTCCACTGACTTGGATATTTATGAGGATTTTGAACATGTGATTTTCTCATTTTCTCCTTTTCCCTTGGATATTTAAAGGAAGAGGGTGGAAGTCTAACAAGTACCATTTAAAAATAAGGTTTTATGAGAAGCTACTGAGAGGAGGACTGGGGTTTTTTGTGAAATTCACCTTCACCAGGTCAAAGTCACTTTTTGACCCAATTGCTGGCCATAGCTTTTGTAACTAGACTTTTCAAGCATGAAGCGCTACACTACGGTGTTGCGAGAAGATAAGCAGAGCCTGTTTTTACTCTCAGTGGGGTAGGTGGACTTATGGCCACTGCTTGGCCACCTTGAAGACTTTGGAAAAACAGAATATACTCAGAATCAAATGACCTGCTAGAAATGTTGTGGCAACTTGTAACAGTCTACTTATAATACACAACATTAATATACACAGTTAGATTTAAAAGTGTCATGGACTTGCTAACTACCATTTAATGCATTCACTGGTGAACTAGAGCATTTTTCTTATTCTGTACATGTAGTGAATCTCCTTTTGGGATTTTCACCATTCATTTTCTTTTCAAGAACCACCAGTACATATGAGTATCCTACCACAACATCTGTGTGGTAGTTAATCCGTATTTTCATCTTAATATTTAATCAAATTGCACCTTATGTGAAAGCTATTGTTCATATTGTTAAATCCATAAATAACTATGCTCTGACTCTGCTGCCCATTCTCACAGTGTGGCATTTCCTCTCATCTCGTATCACTTTCACATGATATGGTATTGGTTTGATAAGAGATCTAATAGACGGTGTTTCCAACCATCATCACAATCCAACACGGGAATGTATTTTAAAAGAATGATGTTTCATTCCTCAAATATAGTTGCAGAGACTTGGAAAATTGTTATATTGCTCTAAAGCTGGTCTTGCAACATGT